CCCCAGTGCTCACCGAGCACCTTCAGCCCCCTCAGGTGGAGGGATCACTTGTGTTCAGGAGGGCCAGCCCAGGAGCCTGGCAGCCTCCCAAGCCCTCCTCTCAAAAGCAGCTCTATTCATTTCCCTGCTGCCGGATACTAACCCTTCAGAAGCGTCCACCCTCTGTCAGCACCCCGGGTGCTGGGTACCACACGGAGGTCGCACATGCACTATCCCAAGGCCAGAGGCTGTCCTGAGGCAGGCTGGCCCCAAGAGGCATGGGTCAGCTCTCTCCTCCCCTGCCCTAAAGGAGGGAGGTTCACTTCTTTGGTGAGAACAGTAAAAAGGAGGATTCCCCATCTGCTTGGGTGAAGGATGCCATATTTACCAAGAAGAATCTCCAGACCATGTCAAACCCGGTGTGAAGTTATGGTTGTGGGAAGGGTGGGCAGACTTGGAGGGAACCCCAGAAGAATGTTGTTGACCCAGCCCTCTCCCAGTCTGGGACCCACTATAGGCTCGTGGAGGAGAGGGGCATGAGGGCCTTCTGGATACCCCAGGCGGTGCGTGGGATCAGTTCAGAGCCCAGACCCCTTTCACAAATACCCCACCCTTCCTGGGCCACATATTGCTGCCAGCAACTGGACAGGGGTGACTAGGGCCTGAAAGGGTCTGAAAACCATTAGCTGGAGCCAGACAGCAAGGGGGTCTTGCGTGGGGCATCCCGGTACCCCCTACCAGGGACAAGGAGACAGTGTTGTAGGCCCTCTCTTGCCTAAACCGCTCCCATCCCTGGGCGCTGCCTGCCCACCTGGGTAGCGTCCGGTCAGAGGGGGACCTGGGCAAGCTGGCCTCTAGAGCTCACCAAACCCCCCAGGGCCAGATGGGGGCCATCTGCTCTCTTCCGTCTCGGCACCTAGTCTGTCTGCCTCAGCTACCAAATGTGTTAAACCTTGGTCTGTAGCTGCAAGATTGGGTGACACACAGGTGAGCTCGGCGGGAGCAAGTGGCGTCCTTCGTCAGGACTCCCTCCTGGCATCACCTGTGTCCCTGGACTAGAGGGGGCCCCGCCAGGTGACCCGCTTCGAGCCCCGCGGGGTGGAGCTCCCAGCCAGGAGAGCTCAGGGCTCTGGGTGCAAACTCTGTCCTGTGACTCTTGTCTTTTCTAGGACCTTACACTTAGACAGAGAGAAAGAAAAAGAAGCTCACGTCCCTACTTCCCGGAACTGACTGGTATTGTGATTTTATCACGTTGCTGCTACTTTTTTAAATAAAAGAAAGAATATTATAGATAAAGGTGAAGTCCTACTTGATCTCCCCCCCGCCCCATTGCTGGTTATATCCAGGTACCCTTTCTCCAGGCCACTTTCACCTGACTTTGATTTGGGTCCATCATTTGTTTTTAACCTGTCTTAATAACCCTTTTTAAGTGTACAGTTCAGTGGTATTAAGTATATTTCCATTGTTGTGAAACATCTCCAGAATTCTTTTCATCTTGCAAAACTGAAGCTCTATACCCATCAAATAACAGCTCTCCTTCCTCCCGCTGCCCCCCAACCTGGGCAACCACCTTTCTACTTTCTGTCTTTATGCATTTGACTACTTGCAATGCTGCGTGGGAGTGGAACTGTACTGTATTTGTTGCTTTGTGACCGGCTTATTCACGGAGCATAAATGTCTTCAGGGTTCATCCACATGGTAGCAGCGGTCAGAATTTCCTTCCTTTTATGGCTGAATAATTTTCTGTTGCACATTCTGTTCAGCCATTCAGCCGTCGATGGACATTTGGGTTCCTTCCACCTCCCGGCTACCGTGAATAATGCTGCCATGAATGTGGGTGTGCGATACCACTTTGAGACCCTGCTTTCTGTCTGGTGGGGAGATACCCAGGAATGGAAGTGCTGGGTCAGATGGTATTTCTATTTTTGATCTCTCGGGGAGCCCCCATATTCTTTTCCTTAGTGCTACACCGATTTACATTTCCCCCAACAGCACGCCAGCATTTCAACCTCACGTCTTTGCCAACACTTATTATTGCCTGGGTTTTTTAAGTTTTTTTGTTTTTGTTTTTGTTTTTTTAATAGTAGCCACCTTCATGCATGTAAAGTTCCATCTTCTCCATCTTCATTTGAATATCTAGTTCTTGAACACTTTTGCACCATTTTGTAATATCTACACATAAGCTGTCACTTCTCATTTGGCAGGTTGCTTTTTCCACTCAGTGTCTGATGTCTGTTGTCACTCCACGTTGACCCGCATGGACTGGGTGAGTCGCAGTAGCTGCCGGAGGTCTTCCTGCGTGTGAGTGGCCCGGCTGTGGGACCCGTTCCCCCACCGCTAGGCATCTCTGTCGTCTCCGCCACAGGTCTTGAACTCACGGCTCTTGGGGGTCTCCCTCGGCTGCGTTCTGAGCTCCTCCAGTGGAGCCCTTAGCCAGCACTCAGCCCAGCCGGTGGCGGGGAGGGGGGTGGCCTCTGGAATTTTGCCAGATTGTCCACAGCAGGGACCCAGTGATTGGTCCTAGCAGGACAGCCCAGGGCTGTCACCAGTAATCAGCGAGGTCTGCAACACACAACCAAGATTAGCAACCTAAAAACAGTGGTTCTTACATAAGGTGGTGTGGGCAGCATCTCTCAGGATGCCTTGTGGTCTGAGGGGGGCAAGCGGTATGTGACTCAGGGGACTGAGCACCCGGCTTGTGCAATGCATCCAGCCCCCACACTGGGCCCCGCTCTGGCTTCCCACAAGTGGTCTGACTTACAGAACTGCAGTGTGGTGACCCAGAAATACCACGAGAGTGATCGGCTTGGCCAGGGTCATGCTGTGTGTGCCTGTGTGCACATGGCTGTGGCCGTGAGGTCAGCTGTCACCTGCTTCTTTCTCGGAAGTAAGGCGGACTCTTTGCATGGGGGGCCCTCAGGGAGCTTTGGAAAGGTTCCTTCATTCGCTTCACAGTAGGGGCAAAACACCTACTGTGTGCTCGACACCGTTCCAAGCACTGGGGATACTATAGTGAACAAGACAAGGCTCCTGCTCTCATGGAGTTTAGAACCCAGAAAGGGAAATAGAAAACATGTAAGCAAATAATAGATAAGAAAATATTAGGTCCTGATAAGTCCTGGGAAGAAAAACCAAAATAAGGTAACATCTTAGAGAAAGGGTCAATAAACTTTTTCTGTAAAGGGCCACGTAGTACATACTTTAGGCTTTACAGCCCGTGGTGTCTGTCACCACTAGTCATCTCTGCCATTGCAGCGTAAAAACAGCCACAGACACTTTTAAGTGAACGAGTGTGGCCATGTTCCAATAAAACTTTATTTACAAAAACAGGCTGTGGGCCAGATTTGACCCTCAGGCCAGAGTTTGCCAACCCTGTACTTGAGATGGGGTTGTCAGAGACCCTTTCTGAAGGGAGATGAGGACTGAGGGCCCAGTCACAGGAGGGAGCCAGCATGGGACAGCCTAGTTCAGGCAAGACATGATGGCGCCTTACTGTGGATTCAGCCGTGTAGCTGTGTGGTGAGAGGTGGGCAAACTCTGGCCAGTGGTGAGAGAGAAAAATGGTGGAGCTTGCTCACGAGGTGACCATTAGGGGTACAGGAAAGAGGAGGCTCAAGGATGAGTCCTAGATTTGGGGCTTGAACAAATGGGTGAATGGTGGTTCTGTTTATGGAAAAGAAGAACTGGAGGGAAAAGCTGGGTTTGTGTTAGGCATGTTGAATTTGAGGACCTTCTTAGAGGAGCAGGTAGGAAATCGCGTGGGCAGGTGGACGTCCATGCTTAACAGCGCAGGAGAGAAGCCACGGCTGGAGGCTTGACCTGGGGAGTCAGCAGGATTTGGGTGGTCTTCAACGCCATGAGTCCGGAGGTCAAAGGCAGTGTGTGTGGACAGAACAGGGAGGGGGGGCTGGATGAGATCTGGGCCACTGACATTTCGTGCTTGGCAGAGGAGGACAGAGTGGGCCTCACACTCCGTGGAGGATGGCACTGTCTCCTGGGAAACAAGCTCTGGGCCCCCTACCTACAGAGCCTCAGTTTCCCCCTGTCACTGGGGGATTCTACCTCCTTGGGTTGCTGTGGGAACTAAATAAGATAGTCATGCTTGACATGGAGGAAGCAGTCAGCACGTGGTACCTGTGATGCGGGCAGTGGTGACCACTGAGCCACGGGCCGAGGGAGCGGGCCGCAGGTCTGTGATGGTTTGGCTTGGTGGATGGCGGAGTCCGTGATGGGTTAGGTTTGCAGACACCTGGTGCCTGGCCCTCGCTGTCCCTTCCACCTGGAGCAGGCCCAATGTGCCAGGTCTCTCTGGTGCTCCTGGGAGCCCCTGATGGGAGTTGGGGCTCAGTATCCTTGCCCCTTGGGGTGGACAGCATTGAGGCATGTTCTCTCCTGGCTCCCAAGGCTCCCCAGGGAGTTGAGCCCCCACTGGCCACAGTGGTGGCCGGCTCAGCCACACATCTTCACTGCTGCCTCCCCGTGCCCGGCTGGCTTCCACGTGCCCCTCACTGGGGACCGCCCCTTCATGTCTCGGCAGCTCCTTGTCTAAGAGTTGGCTCTGGCTTCTGGGGCAGCGAGTTTGTGCGGCTGGCTGGCCGTCTGGGCCCTGTGGTGGCCTGTCTGGCTGGGGCGCGCCGGCCGTGGGGTCCCGGCCCCCCAGCTCTGCCCGGCAGCTTGCCGCCTCCCTCACCTGCCGCCCCTCCCACAGCCAGGCTGCCGGAGAACATGGTGGACTACCTGGCCAACACGGAGATCAACAGCCAGCGCATCGCGGCCGTCGAGAGCTGCTTCGGGGCGTCGGGGCAGCCGCTGGCCCTGCCAGGCCGCGTGCTGCTGGGCGAGGGCGTGCTGACCAAGGAGTGCCGCAAGAAGGCCAAGCCGCGCATCTTCTTCCTCTTCAACGACATCCTGGTGTACGGCAGCATCGTGCTCCACAAGCGCAAGTACCGCAGCCAGCACATCATCCCGTTGGAGGAGGTGACGCTCGAGCCGCTGCCCGAGACCGCGCGGGCCAAGAACCGCTGGATGATCCGCACGGCCAAGAAGTCCTTCGTGGTGTCAGCCGCCTCCAGCACGGAGCGCCAGGAGTGGATCAGCCACATCGAGGAGTGTGTGCGGCGGCAGCTGCTGGCCACGGGCCGCCAGCCCAGCACGGAGCACGCGGCGCCCTGGATCCCCGACCAGGCCACGGACATCTGCATGCGCTGCACGCAGACGCGCTTCTCGGCCCTCACGCGGCGTCACCACTGCCGCAAGTGCGGCTTCGTGGTCTGTGCCGAGTGCTCCCGGGAGCGCTTCCTCCTGCCGCGCCTGTCGCCCAAGCCCCTGCGCGTCTGCAGCCTCTGCTACCGCCAGCTGGCCGCCCGCAAGCGGGAGGAGGACGAGCCGCGCGCCGGGGCCCCCGGGCAGCCGGCCCACGCGGCCGGGGCGGGCTGCGGAGCGTCCAGCGGGGACGAGGAGGACTCTGACGAGGACAAGGAGGGCAGTGGCGCCGGCGACTGGCCCAGCCGTGTGGAGTTCTACGCCTCGGGCGCCTCCTGGTCCGCCTTCCACAGCTGACCAGGATCTGCGGCCGTGCGGGAGGGGCTCCCGGTCCCTCCTGCATCCGATCCGAGCAGACTCCATCGCCGGGCCCTGAGAGAGCACAGCTCCCGCGCTGCACCCCGCCCCCAGGACCCTGCCCCACGGGGGGCAGGCGCAGTGCCAACGGCTCTTTCTCTCCAGACCCCAGTGCCTTTGTGCTGGACATTGGCATCCTTCTTTTCCACATCAGGTAATTCTCTGTCCACTTAGCGAACTCAAAACACTTGGGCCTCTTAGGAACAAATAAATGCCTTTTCTCAGACCTAAGAGCTGTGGTCCCAGATGATGACTTGAGCTAGACAACCCCAGGCACCTTTCGGGACCAGAGGGCAGATAGGACTGGAGTGAGGTCCCCTGAGGCCGTGCACCCAGCACCTGCCCCCCAGACAAGCACACCCCCAGGGAAGACTGGGAGGGCTGGAAACCAGGTCTGCCCAGGCACCTTGCTGACGCCCACCTGCCTGGCTGGCTGGACCTTCTCAGGCCAGGCATGTGAGCTCACCTTGAGCCAGACTAGAGTCTGCCGTGCCATGGGTACCCGCCAGGCATGGGACTGCGGCCTGGCTCCCCGGGGACCAGGGCACGTGCCCGGGCCCCTGGCCCCATCTCCCCTCACTCCAGATGTCCAGGTGTCTGATGCCCCTTGGTCCTGTCCTCGTCTCTCCCTGTGGCTGGGGAAAGCGGTGTTTTCTGTTAGGACCCTTCATTGCAAGTGACAGAACCCCTACCCAGACTGATTTAACAATAAAAAGAACGTTTATTAACTCATGTGGTCAAAAAGTTCAGGAATGACTTGCTTCAGACACAGCTCATCAGGGGCTCAAACCATGCGAGGTGGCATCTGTCCACAACCATCCCCCATGCTGGATGTCCTGGGAACATTAGCAGCACAGTGGGGTCAGACATTCATGCCACCCCTGGGCTGCTTCCTGCGGACATGGCCCCGTCCACCTGGGTGCTCTGCCCATGGCCCAGCGCGACACAGTCTGCACATGGCAACACGGTCTCCTGATTTGCTTCTGCTCTGGTCTTTCCCTGTTGCCTGGCTGACCTTGGCCAGAGCCCACTGTGGTGGAGGGGGAGGTCACTGTCAGCTAGAAGTAGTGACTCTGGGACCAGGAAAGCCTCCCCTAGCCCACATGACCCTCTGCCTAAAACCCCTTCATCAGGGCTCCAGGCCTTGGGGGAAAAATCGCCCTCTGGCCAGTTCTCAAGTCCTCCTGTGCAGATAGAACCCTGAGGGTCTGGCTAGAGTACTACATCCGATTCAGCTGGTCACTGGCTCCCAGGGGCAGCCAGGCTCCAGCCCGCTGTTGACGGGGAGCCACCCCTGTGAGGGAGGGTAGAAGCGGTAAAGTGCCAGACACCCGGGCCTGCAAGGACTCAGGGCTTGAGTGGCAGCAAGCTTTGGGGGGCCTTCATTCATGCAGACGCATTGCTCCGTGCCATGCCAGGTGCTGGGGACACAGCCGTGGGTGAGACACACAAGGTTCCCACTCTTAAGGTGTCTCCTCTGGCGGAGGAGCCAGGCAGGCGTGGGGTGGGTTGTGTCAGTCCTGGTGTGCTGTGACAGGGGCAGGGACTGAGGCGTGACGTGGTGGGCAGGTGGACGGCAGCACTCCGCAGGGGTGAGCTCCCCGCATATGGTGAGAAAGAGTGAGCAATGCCAGCTAGAGAGGTGGCGCTCCAGACAGAGGGAATGGCAGGTGCAAAGGCCCTGAGGAGAAGAGGTGCTCTGGAGCAGCATGGCTGGACTGAGGCCAGACAGGTGGTGGGGCCGGCTCAGATGAGCCAGGAGCCACTGGAACCTTCCACAGGGCAGCAAGTCTTCTCTTTGCTTTCCGGAGCTTGCCTGGCAGCTCTGTGCAGATGGCTGAGGCAGAGAGAGCGGCCTGACAGCCACCCCAGACTCCTAGGACCCCGGAGAGGGCAACCAGGCTCCACTAAGGCCGCATCTGCCTGCGGTGGTGGGGGGTGGATGGCAAGCCGTGGCTGTCCCCACCTCCTCCTAAAGGGCCGGCCCCTCCCCTGTTCTGGATGACAGCAGATGGTGCACCAGGAAGCAAGATAAATGCCTCGGCCGAACATTTGTCCTGGGCCAGTGTGTGGGGTCAGTGATGGTCAGCGCCCCGGCCACTGAAGCCCAGAGGAGAATGTGTTGGGAGGAAGCAGGACCTCCCAGAAAAGAAGATGTGGGCCCGAGAAGGGAAGGTGCTGCCTCAGGAGACTCCATCTCTGACTCCTTTAGGTCTCATCTCCTTTAGAGACAGCCTCGTCAGCCTGGCTTGGGTCATGGGTCAGGCCAGGCCCTGCCTCCAGCTGCCCCCCAGGCTGTTCCGAGAAGGGGCTGGCTGCCGCTGGGGAGTTCTGCTTTCTCTCACCTCCTTCCCCAGCAGGTGTGGTCCTGCGAGGCTCTGGAGCTGCCCCTAGTCGAAGCCACATAGAGGACCCCGGCCCTTGGCCACCACACCGCGCCCCTCGCATGGAGGAGGTCAGGAGTTCTCAGGGCTCAATCAATGCTTCTGCTCTTTGCGATGTTCCCTCTTCCCAGAATGAAGCTTGAGGTCTGGCCACAGGGCTGGGTCTGCTGGGCCTATGTCCCAGCCCTCACTCTCTCCTGGGGCTTTGCTTACAAGGCCTGGCAAGGACCGGGAACCCACTGTCCTGCCAGCCAAGTGCTCCCTTCCACAGCCCAGGAATCCTTCCTCCCAGCCGTGCCTGGACTCCGTGTTCCTGCCAGAGGCTGATCCTTCAGCCCTGGGAGGGGCCTGCCCTGCCCTGCCCCTCCTCCTGGGAGATGGAGATGGACACAGGCCGGGGGAGGGTCCGAGGACCAGGCCCATGCATTTGAGGGGCACCCACCACCTCAGCATTGCTGGAAGCGCCCCTATGGCATCAGCCCTGACGGAAGTCACTCCAGGTGGAAAGTGAAGTCTCAGGGTGACCTCAGGGCAAGGGGGCCTCCCTTGAGAGTTTGACCTACCGCTGGGCAGGGCTGCAGTGGTCCTGCAGGACTCGGATACTGAGGGACATCTCTGCAGGTTATTGAGGCTGATGCTGAACCTGGCTGCCCCGTACTGAGACCCAGCTGGCCACGGCCTCAGGAAGGCAGAGCCGGGTTACACAAGGCCATCCTGAGTCTGGAGGGGATGTGGCCTAAGTCCTGAGAGAGGGATAGACAAAGCCAGTGGCCAGAGCTCCCAGAATAGTTGTGTGATCAGGGAGGGCTTCCTGGAGAAGGTGATGTTTGGTTGAGCCCCAGGAAGGCACAACTTTATCAGAGAGGACAGTGGTCTCCACCAGGACTGGGACTCTGGGTTTTTTGTTCACTATCCCCTCCTGCCCCTGACACTGAACACGTGTGGATTGAATAAATGAATCAAGTAAGAAATGAAGTTGGGGACTTGGGGGCAGAAGGGATGATAATGAAATGGCCATTGAGCCTCACCTCTGGAGCCTCTGGTCAAGGTGCTGGATGAGAACTGGTGGGCCTGGCCTCTTTCTGGAGCGTTGGGGAGCAGCCCCGTCCCCCAGACACTGACTGCTGCCCTGTCAGCAGGGACAGGAAACGTCCATCCCCCCCTCTCAGGCAGAGCTTTCTGGAGACGTGATGTCAGACCTGTTTGCAGGGGGTCATCATCCAGGTTGGCCTCAGCGGATGTCAGCTGGCCTGGCCTCTGCCCGGCCCCAGCCTGTTCTTGGGGACTCAGCCAGGAAGAGGCTGCAGGGGAAGTCAGGGCCCCTGCCGGGCCCTGCTACCGGGCAGGTGGGGAGTGACTGCAAGGCTGACCCAGTTCTCAGCCAGGATCCTGGGGTTCTCAGGCCACTCTCGCAAACCAAGGCAACCACTTCCGCTGGCCTGCCCCTGACCCTGCAGGAAGTAACCGTCCCTAGGCCTGTGGACCGGCTAGAGGCCGCCTCCGAGTCTGAGGCTTTTCACACCTGGCGGCAGCAGGCTCTGGGCTGCCCGAAGACTCCCTCCTCAGTGCTTGCCAACTGTCTCCCTGCCTCTCTCTGCACGCAGGCTCCAGCTGTGAAGGGGCCCACACCCTCCACATGCATGCTCTGCCTTAGCCCTGAGCAGACTCGGCGAGAGACCTGTGCCCAGAGGACAGAACTTGGGCCGAGGGCCACAGGCCGGAGGAGGGATTCTGCCTCACTGAGCCAAACAGAGCCGGATTCTGGCTTCTCTGGGCTACTTGCTGACTCTGAACCCAGCATCCGCCTTCGTGCATGAACTTTGGGCCTCCCTGTGGACCCCAGTCTGCTGCCACCTCCCCTCTGCAGCCTTCGTGGTTGCCCCAGGGCAGCATGGCTAGCCCATCCGTGCTCCAGGAGCACCTGCAGCCCCAGCTCTGGCTCCCAGCCTCCGTCCTTCATGAAGTGCCTGAGTGGGCCCTCGAGTCTGGGCAGCTCGAGGGTAGGGGGCCACTCAGTCATCATTCACCTGCAGCCCCCACAACTCTTAGCCGGCTTCCACAGACGCCTTTCATGGAAGGTGGCCTTGGGCCTTCCCCTAGCTCCGGGGGGGCAGGGGGGCTGTCTGCAACATGCTGGGGTCACGGGACCTCAGAGCCAAACTGACCCCATTGGCTTCCCCTAACCAGCTACTCCTGCTCCATTGGCACCTGCCCCCAAGCCTTTGAGCCAGACGTTGGGGAGTCTCCTGACCATTCCTTGCCTGTCCCCCCACCCTCCTGTGCCTTTCTAGGTAACCCAGGCCCAAACTGGGAGAGCCTGTGGAGCACTGGGGCGCTGAAGGAGCTTCCATAGGGCCCTGGAGGGAGTGGTTCAGGCAAGACCCCAGAGGTGGGCCTGGGCCAGGCCCCACGCGGTAGAGTCCTTATCCCAAAGGACAGTGAGCCCTGTGCACACACGGGTGCACACACCCCTCCGGCCCCTCTCAGCCTGCCTCCTACTTTGCCCTCCCAGACTCCCCATGTCACAGCCTCAGACTAGCTTTTGGAGCAGTCTAGAAGGGAGGAATCGAGAGTGAGGGCGGGGGCTCACACTCAGGAAGGGAGAGTGAACATCCAGGAGGCTCTCGGGTGCTCCTCCCCGTTTCCTTCAGTGTTCGGCCTGGGAAGCCGAGGCCCGCAGGGCAGGTGCACCCCTGACGCTCACGAATCAGGGGCAGGGCCAGAGTCCTGTCCCGTGTCTTCCCCGAGTCCTATCTCCTGCTGGCTCCCCTCACCACCACAGAGCCCAGCTCTGACTGGAATGTTCCAATGCTGAAAACAGAAAGGCTGGCAGGCAGGGAGGAAGAGAAGGGGGTTGGGGGGAAGACCAAGCCAGACATTTCTAGGCAAAAACCAGGGGAAATTTCAATCGCTGGAGTATTACTTTAGGGGGTCCTGTCAGATGTTCTGACCCCAAAGAACAGGCTTTCTGGAGAGCAGTACTGCTCACAGTAGCTCCCAAGCTGGGAGGGAGGGAAGCTGGGTGCCGGGAGCCAGTCGTCCATGCTGCTGCCACCCACTGTTTCCCCACACAGTGGGGCTTCACGTGACCCCTAGCTGCCCATAGCGACACCCCGGGTGTGGGAACCCAGGCTTCCAGGATTCTGGAACCACACACACACACACATACACACACACACAAGTTTTCCTTTGTGTGTACAGAAGGAAACTTTATGCAGTTGCAAATTGCCAACATTCTCAAAATGCCAAAATGCCTTCCTTTGTATCCCAACCAAGCCTCCTGGAGTCCCCACCCCCATCCAGAACACAGAGGGACCCTCTCAGCCTTGGGCCAAGCTGGCCTCTATA